CTTTTTTTTTTTTTTTTTTTTTTTTTTTTTTTTTTTGAGACAGGGTTTCTCTGTGAAGCTCTGGCTGTCCTGGAACTCACTCTGCAGGCCAGGCTGATCTCCTGCCTACGCCTATTGAGTGCTGGGACTAAAGGTGTTTGCTACCACTGCCCAGCTTGCTTTTGTTTGTTTGTTTTTGAGACAGGATCTCACTATGTAGACTAGACCAAGCTGTCAATGGCCTGGAGCTAAGACTCCTGCCTTCCTCTACCTCTGGACTTCTGGGATTAAAAGTGTGCACCACAGCATTTCCTCTTTTCCTCCTTCCTCTTTTTCTCCACTCTTTTCTTCCCCTCCTCCTCTTTGTCCTTCTTTTACAGCCCAGCAGCTTGCTTAGAGCTGTTTGCCTGTGTTCGGGTGTGGGTTATGTACTGGATTGTGGGCTGCTTTGGCTTTGTTTTCAGACTGTTCTTTCCATGCTCAGGTTGCCTTGCCTCTGTCAATCTTCTGTTTCATTCTCGGAGTACTGGATTCACTGGTGTACACCACTGTACCTGAAAGTTTATAATTATTTTTTTACCACCTTTTGATTTTAATCTCAAATGTCATTTATATAAGAGCATTGTGTAAAATTCTATATGGTTTATTTTAATAAAATTGCCCCTGTGATAGACAAAGATGAACTAGAGTGGTAAATTGTATAATTATATCAAGTGGGTTGGTAGTTAAACCAGTTTAACTACCTTTAAACCTTTACAGCTGAGAAAATTCAAGTTTTTGCACTTGATACATAATGATTTTTTATAATGACTTATTCAGTCTTTGGAAGTGTTGGGGAAAAAATTTTTTTTTCCTTCTGTCCTGATAAACTCTCCAGGTATGGGAGCTTGTTGACACAAATGATGCTAACGAAATTGTTCTATGTGCTTACACCTGGTGACTGGCTGCCCGAGAGACTTGAACTAATGACATTGTTCCACGTGGGCACACCTGGTGACCCGGTACCCAAGAGACTTGAACTGATGGAAAAGTTCAGAATGATGTAGGGTATTGTAGCCCTTGAGGGCGTTTATATCTACTCATTAGTTGGAAATTTCCAGCTGTTCATAAGGCTTTAACTGGAAAACTTATTTTGCATACTGAATCTGGAAAACATAAAGAGTCTTTGAGGACAAAACTTGGACTTGGTGTTTTAGGATTGTAAGGCCTATGGCTAGCAACTCGGCTCATAATTGTTGTCTTTAAAGTTGTAAATGCTAGAGTGAATTGTCAAATTGTCCAAAGAAAATACTCAGAAATAACTAAAAGCCAAAAACACAAAAAACAAAAACACCCACATGGCAGTTCCTCCTTTAAGAGAACAAGTACAAATAAACTTAATAATAGTAGTGAATACAGTTTTTAAAACTCGTCTTTATTATTTTTAAGTATATATATATGTGTGTGTGTGTGTGTGAAGGGGGGTGTGTATCTGTGTGTGGGTGTGTGCATGTGAGTATGAGTGCCCAGAGGAGTCAGATTCCCTGGAGTTGAAGTTACAGGGAGTTGTTTGCTGCTTGGTGTGGGTTCTGGGAATCGAACTCACATCCTCCGGAAGAGTATTATGTGCTTGTACTTTTAACTGTTTGCGCCATTACTCAAGCCTATGAAAACAGTCTTAACCCTAGATGTTGACATTCCTGGGATTCTTCTTATTGCTGGTTTCTCTTGGAGTGAAATAATATAAGCGATACCCAGAAATTAGTGTTAGCTTAACTGTTTTCCTTTGTCGAATCTGCCTTCCTATTTAAGGAAATTATTTTCAAAGATTAAGTCCATATGTGTTGTACGTTTTGAAATAATATTTGCTAAGAAGAGTAGCCAAGAAATTAGCATCGAATACTTTACCTACTTAACAAGTAGAGAGAGAAAGAGAGAGAGAGTTTGTGCATAACGGGCTGGGGGAGTGAGAGGGAGAATGTGTATATAGTTTCCAGTTGGTATTTTAGATAAGCATAACAATAAAAATAAGGATGATATCTTTCTCTCATGGACATGGTCTCAAGGGCAGATGTTCAATCAGTTTGGCTGACATTTGGAATGATCTAGATTGAGTTACAACCATTTTATGTGTCCCCTCTTTTATTTTCTTTCCCCACATAGACTTGGTTTCAGAAGCACAGAAAAATGCAGAAACAAGTAGAGTATGAATATTGCTTTGAAGAAAGCCAAGGCCAGGGACAAGATAAACCTAAAGGTAAGACCCACAACTCAAATATATTCCTCCACTGATTTCCTTGGGAATATAAGCAATTGTGCCTTGTGGAGAAATACTCTGTAGAGAAAGCTCAGGGGAGGGAGCAATTATAACATACTATGGGTCAGAGATATAAACATTATTTCACTTGGTGTGGTAGCTAGAATCCTTTGGGAGGTGGAAACTAGAAGAGCATGAAAGAGTTCAAAGCCGGGTGAAGCGGAGCATGCCTGTGATTCCAGCAGAGACAGGCCTGGTCCACAAAGCAAGTCCAGGACGGCAGAGGCTACAAAGAAGCACTTCCTTGAAAAATGAGAGAGAGCGAGAGCGAGAGAGAGAGAATGAGAATTCAAGTTCATCTAGCCTGGGCTACAGAAATAGTTTGTGAGCAAGAAGAGCTTCCCCTTTCTTATTTCCATTGAAGTTTATCAGCGCTGTTGCCTCTGGGGTTCCATGAATCTGTTGTTTTTAAGCTCGAATGTGAAAACTGACCTGCAAACCCTGTTGTGTGCTTGTGTTAAATTAGTTAAAGAAGCTGGAAGGAGCAGGACACACTTCACAAAATTTCAGACTGATATTCTAATCGAAGCTTTCCAGAAGAATCGATTTCCTGGGATTGTTACCAGGGAAAAACTGGCTCAACTAACAGGCATCCCGGAATCCAGAATTCATGTATGTCGTACACTTCTCTGTCTCGGGTAGCCTGTTTGTCCTTGCTCCTAGCTGCTTCCCCGCTGAGCTGTTGCCAGACAAACTGACGAAGGCTATTTGGGGTTGTCTCTGCTCTGGGCTTGGGATATAGATACTTGGTGCTGCAAGGGACAATCTGGAGAAATAGCCACATCAGACCTGCTGCAGCACAGGAATAAAAAATAACAACTAGCTGGGTGTGGTGGTACACACCTTTAACCCCAGTCCTCAGGGAGGCAGAAGTAGGCCCATCTCTGGGAGTTCTTTGTTAGTATGTCTAGTCCTTGGAAATACTGGATGATAAGCTCCAGAGGATGAGGTATTGTCCTGTGTATTGGAAGGTTAGCATCCCACCCTCCCAGGCATGGGATGTCCGCATACCTAGCCCTCAGCTCACCTCTGAGAAATGTGGCACACTGCCTGCACAGTTGGCGAATCCCTGTTCTTTGTCTGTTAAGGAGATTGATAAGTGCGGTGCTGAAGCATGCCCTTACGGAAGCCTCTCTTCACATCAGCCACCATGCTTCCATGCCCTCTAGAAACTCCGTGTTCTTGGGAGCTTCTTGGTGCCCAGAAATTCATCCTGCTTTTGAGAACTTGTTTCCTGAATCAGGGCTGGGGATCAGAGGGGTGGAGTCTAACTCTTCTGCCTTTTTAACCATTAATTTACCCATGGCCATGTGCCATGAATTACTTAATCATGATTGCCAATTAGATTGAGAAACACGGAGGATTAGAGATGCTCATCTCCAGGTGTGTTGGTGAGGCGAGGCCTTCCCAGAGCTCATTAGATCCGAAGAGCCCTGAGCTAATCGCCACCAAGAATCTGTTCAAAATCGGGGTGGGCGATGGGTAGGGATGTGGAATGTAGGGTCTAGTTGGAGGAGGCGAAGTACCAAGATCCTGGGCTTGAAGGGTTTAGCCCTTGTCCCCCTGATATTCTGCTTAGCAAACATGAACAGGTGGGGTCACTTCTGCTATTCAGGACTCTTGTGTGTGTTTTAGATATGGTTTCAGAACCGAAGAGCTCGACACCCAGAACCAAGACAGAGCCCTCAAGCAAATGTTAAATGCCCCCAGATTAGCCAGAGCCTTGCTCAGAAGACTGCCTGTCAACTTGTTCCTTCCAAAGCTCCTGCCACTAGCTCTTCTGTTCTGTCACCTCCTTGTCCTCCCCCAACACCATCTGGTCCTTTGGATCTCTCTAGGGGCCGTCAGAAACAGTTGTCAAGGACCACAGCACCACAGCTCTCCCAGCTAGTACAGCGAAGGGGTGATGGTCAAAACTCCTCAGTGTTTGCTGGCCACTCACCACGGGTCAGAACTTCAGGCGAGGAGGCCTTCTGTACTCCTTTAGGGCTCCCAACCCAAGAAAGATGTCAGGACTCCATTGAGAACAGTGGCTTGGCTATACTGCCCTTAGAAGATTCTACTCAGGCTCCAGCTGTCAATCAACACTTTCAGGAACCGGACCCGAAAGACCCCGCCTTTCTACGACACTGGGATGAATGGTTCCAGTCCATGCTTGCTGAATGGATGCCTGATAAAGAATACTGGTCTCCTGAGAAAGCGGAGCTGCATCCGTGGCAGGAGCAGCTTCCGCAGCCTGCCGACGTGCCTCACCAAGCAGACCAAACTCCACAGCAGTAGCGTTAAGCCTCAAGCCCTTTCTGTTAATTCCCACTGAAGACAGATTTTTCAGGAAAGGCCTCATCTTTCTGCATCCAGGTCCATATGTGGGTGACTGCACACAGCTTGGAGAACTTTTCAGAAGATTTTCAGGTCCTCCTTAACATGAGGAGAAGTTTGTTAGTGACTTAGGTTCAGGAGAACCTGTCTTTGGATGTGAGATCAGGGGCTATGCGGAAGCATAGGTATACTGAATTATGGAACAAATTCAAGTCAGTATATACATAAACCACTTGGACACACAAAGGGAGCAGTTATCTTTATCTTTAATTTATTCTTGAGATCTGGTCTTACTGTTACTCAGGCTGGTCTTGAGCTCGAGTTTGTAAGTCAAGTCTCCTGCCTCAGCTCCCTAAATACCTGCCACTACAGGAATATGCCTTCATGTCTATCTTGGTTTTAATTTTACTTATGTTTTTAAAAATAAATCACAAAGTTTCATTTACCTTTTGTTATGGCTTGCATCTGAAGTGTCTCTCCACAAGCTCCTGTTTTAAAATCTTCCCTGTCAGCCGATGGTGGTGTTGGGAGTCTGTGGAGTTTTTAGGAGGTGGAAGTCAGCCGGGGGTGGGGCTTTGAGAGTTATGCCCACTGTAAGGAACAGCATTCACCACATGGTCCCGATGCACCATGCCTTTCCATGATAACGGACCAAAACATTCTGAAAAGAACCCGAATAACTCACCCTTCTATCACTTTGCTTCTGATAGATGTTTTGGTTACAGTGAGTTAAAAGTAACTAATACTGCCTAAGGTTTACTCAGTGTGTGGGACGGTAGTTCTAGCTATATTCTTTGCTTGTTTGTTTGAAACAGGATTTCTCTCTGTAGCCCCGGCAGTCCTGGAACTGGTGGTTCTGTAGCCCAGGCTGGCCTCAGACTCGGAGCTCTGCCTGCTTCTGCCTCCAGAGAGCTGAGATGCAAGGAGTGTGCTGCCATCACCACCTGGCCCTCTGTCACTAACCAGTCCATACTTGTGACTTTCGTCTTGCAGCCTGAAACTCTACTCGTTTGACTCACTTGAGTAACCATAACCGTGCCACAGACTATGCATCCCACGTCACAGAACATCTGCTTTCGCAGCTGTAGGGGCCAGAAGTCCAATTGGCAGGTGCCGGTAGTTTTCGGGGGCCCTTCACAGCTTGGAGATCTCTGAGCATCCAGTCTCACATAAGTTTTGCTCTGTGCACGATTACATCTAGTGTCTCTTCTCGGCTTTTAAGGGTCCTGCACTTATGGCCTCTCTTAACACTGATTCCATGTTTAAAGATCTTATCTATAGATCATTCCCTTTGCTGTTAAGACTTCAGCAAATGCTTAGCCCTGACACGACGGAACACTAACCTTCAATTTTCTCTTCCCTGCCCTCTGGAAACCACAACTGTACTACATGTCCATAGTGGAGGCAGAGTGCGAGGTGGAGGCCAGAGGTCAAAGTTCAGTGCCTGCCTTTTCCTCCATGTTCTCTGCATTTCTTTTCAAAAGATCTTATTTTTATTTGTGTAATGTGTGTGTCTGGGGAGGGGTGGAGGCAGGTGCCTGTGGAGGCCTGGGGGGATTTCAGGCAGTTGTGGGCCACTTGACAGGGATGTTGGAACTGGATGTGAGTTCTCTGGAAGAGCAGTATTTGCTTTCAACCGCTGAGCTGTCTCCACCTTCTTTTGTGAGACAGGGTCTCTTGCTGAACCTGGAGCGTTCTGATTGAGATAGCTTGTCTGTGCAGCCAGCTCCAGGGACCTTCCTGTGTCTGGTCTCCAGCACTAGGATTACGGGTGCTTCGGTACCTGGCTTTTTCACATAGGCTCTGGAGAGCCAAACTCAGGCCCTCATGCTTGCACAGCAAGCACTTTGCCCAGCTAACCGACTCCCTAGCCCCACTGCTTGCTGCCTCTATGAGTCTGAGCACTCTAGGTACCTTGGATAGGTGGAATCCCACAACATGGCTTATTTTTACTGACGTCATGTCCGCAGGCTATATTATTTTGTGGCTTGTGTCAGGATCAATAATTTACATTTTATGTGCATTCCACATTTTGTCCACCAATAAACATTTGGGCTGCCCCTATGTCTTAAACAATGGAAATGATGCTACGGTGAATGACGGCATGCAGATATTAGATCCAATTCTTTTACACGCTGTATGAAAACTGTGCTTCATCGAGGCTTTCTTTCTAGGCAGTTCTAGACTGTGTCATATTGATGATCAGCACTGACCTTCAGAAGTGACTCCATCCCTTCACACCTTCACCCATGGAGCACAGGGATGGGTTAGTTTACTTAGATCCTCACCGATGCCTGTTAGTTCTTGTTGCCTTGATAGTAGCTGTTCTAATGGGTGATTTGACTTGGGGTTCTCTAGTGGTTTTATGGATCTCTTCATGTGGTTACTTAAAATTGTTTACTGCTCAAGGAAGAATTTGTTGAATTCTAAATGTTTTCAAATGTGTACTTTTAAAAAATTATTTTACGTGTAAGTGTTTTGCCTTCATGCATGTATGTGCACCATGTATGTGCCTGGTGTCTTCATCAGATCTCCTGGAACTGTAGTTACAGATGGTTGAGAGCCACCACATGGGTGCTGGGAACTGAACCTGGAAATTTTGCAAGAACGGTAACAGCTCTTTACCACCGAGCCATCTCTCCAGTCCCCTTAAAATTACATTCCTTATATCAGCTTCATCCAAGATATGATTTGCAAACATTTTCTCTTACTCCATAAGGTTGCTTTTTCACTATGTCGTATGCTTTGGGAGACATGGATTTTAATTATGTATCTGTGTGTTCATTCAAAGTTAGATTGTTGACCTGAATTTTTTCTTTTTAATATGTGATTTATTAACAAATATGCACACTATCATACACATATGATAGAGGTATACTTACACAAAACATTAAGACACAACAAATATGAATTTAAGGGTGTTTCTATTACACACCGACTTAAAAAAATGTGCGAACAAAGTGTGTTTGTGTGCGAGAACAAGGTTTTCTTTTCCGTATCCTTGCCAAGATTTGTGGGATTTATTTTTTATTCTTTTAAAAATATTCATTTATTCATTCACTCATTCATTTAATGTCTATGTATTTCTATCTACATGCATGCCTGCATGCCAGAAGGGGCATCAGATCCCATTATAGATGGCTGAGAGCCACCACATACCAGCTGAAAATTGAACTCAGGACCTCTGGAAGACGAGCCAGTGCTATTAACTGCTGAGCCATCTCTCCAGCGCTTTTCTTTCTATATTTTTTAAAAAGATTTATTTGTTTATTATGTATATAGTGTTCTGCCTTGCATGTATTCCTGCTCACCAGAAGAGGGCACCGGAATTTCCCCATAGATGGTTGCGAGCCACCATGTGGTTGCTGGGAATTGAACTCAGGACCTTTGGAAGAACAGCCAGTGTTCTTAACTGCTGAGCCAATTCTCCAGCCTGCTTTTATTCTTTTCTTAAAAAAAAAAAAAAATTTAATTTTATTTTTATTCCGCTTTCTGTCTCTCTTCTCTCTCTCTCTGTATATCCCACGTATGTGCAGGTGGCGGTAGATGGAAGAAAAGGACACTGGATCTCCTGGAGCTGGAATTACAGGTGGTTGTGAGCTGCCTGATGTGTGTGATGGAACGTAACTGTGGTTCTCTGGAAGAGCAGCAAGTGCTCTTGATCAATGAGCCGTTTGCTCTTCTGTTTTCCATTATTGCCTCTGACTGAGATAGGGTGCAAGCTCAATGCAGTTTTGGCTTGTATTTCCTTAATAAAGGAAATACAAAGGTATTTTCCATTTGTTAACTTTAACTCTTGCTATTATGTCCTGTACTTTTAGAATCCTTTTCAGCAACTTCTTGCTTATATCTTCAGCTATTTTTTTCTCTGCTTCCTTCTTGTAGTTAATAGCTTCACATATTTTTGTATTGTTTTTTATTTATTTTATTTTTTCAAAAAAGGGTTTCTCTGTGAAGCCCTGGCTGTCCTGGACCTCACTCTGTACCACCAGGTTGGCATTGGACTCAGAGATCCTAATGCTGGGATTAAAAGGGCCTAAGCCATCAGGTCTTATATTTAGGTCTTGGATCTTTTTTTTTTTTTTTTTTTTTTTTTTTTTTTTTTTTTTTTTTTTTT